TTTTCCAGAAGTGGTTTAAGAGTTTCTCGAAAGGTGGAGAAGCTGACAGACAGTGCAATACCTTGAAAAGTCTATGGGGTAGGACTGTACTCCCTGTCCAGACTCTCTTATGTATGATGAATCCATCCCCAAATACTTGGCGCGTAACTTTTGGTGTTTGGTGGTTTTTTGGTTTCTAAGCAATGAAATTTGTTTCTAAAGCGTTTCTATATCTCTTCCCCAAACTAGGCTGCACTAAATCATTGCTAATGGGGGTAATGTTTCATTTAGCTACAGGCTTTCCAAATTAGACTTTAGCTCGTGGTGTTCAAAACCAAATCAGCGCTTCCATTGTTGCAGTTGTCCATGATTCTGGCTCACAAGCCCCACACCAGTAGTGAAGTGCATCCTCTTTCTGGCCCTTGCTCCCAAAAAGTCAATGCTAATGAGCACAATACGACAAATCAATTCTGAAGCTTCCAGGTGAGATGTTAGGAAGAACTTTTGAAAAGAGACTGACTGAAAGAGAAGGGTTAGAGCTCCTGAGTCTTCAAAATGTTTGTCTGTGTGGCAGGCAGTGTGCCAAAGCAATTGTGTGCTCTGAGGCCACGTGTCAGCTGAAATTTGAGGGAGGGAGGTGGAAAGCTGACTTTGAGGCTGGCTTGAACAGTAAGTGAACAGGACAAACACTTCCACCCCGCACAGTTTTATTTTCAAGCTATTGTGCAGCAGCAGACACTTGAAAGCTGCTCATTCGAAGTCTGTAAAGAGCTGGAGGCGCTGGGATGATACAATCAATTGATTTTATTGGGCAAAGCAAAGCCTCTGAAGGTGCTTTCTGAGCACAGAGGGAAGTGGCATCGCAGGGCTCCCTGTGGCAGGTCTGAGTTGGGGCAGGGAGGGAGGAGCCAGGCCAGAGCAGTAAGGTAACATGCCCAAACTGAGGTTTTAATATGCAGCAAACAGAACAAGTAACAAATTGAAAAATTGCTGTAGACACATTTAGGGTAATTGGAAAGACTTTTTTAGCAGTTCAGTTTGTATTACCCAGCTCAGTGTAGAGAAATGTTCACAGTCATATCAGTTTCAAGAGCTGATAACACAGTGAATGATTGCGTGGTTTTTATCAGCTCTCTGAATGAAATTTTTCAGGTTAAAAGTAGCTGCTTCTGTTAAAAGAATAAACATTTAAACATTTAGGCATGTGGTAGTTTTCACAAACTCTCCACAAAATTAAAAATAACAATATGTCATTAAATTTTTCTCAACTAAGGTAACCTCAGGCTGCTAATTTCCTCTTCTGGGAAAGATGGACTAATATGTTCTGGCCATAGAATGCGGCAGAAGACCCAGTCAAAACCTAACGTTTCTGCCTCTACTAATTTTTAATATTCTGTACAAAAGATACGTTAATAAATTTTGAGATTAAAGACTTAACTAATTGTCATAGTGAATACTTAAATATCTTTCATTTCAAAATATGTTTGTACTATTCTGTTTCTATCATAAGGCTTTTCTTTGGTAGAATTATGGTTTTTAACATTAAATATATTCCTTAAGGGTAAAATCATGAATAGCTCTGCTCCAGATCTCCTAGGGTCTGTTTAAGAGGTGAGCTCTCAACAGCAAATAGCACACTAATTTTTCATCATGCTTAAAATAGAGAAAAAAATATTTCAGTTGGGTAGTAGAGGAATAGGTTATGTTTATAAGGTATACATCACTTTCTTTCATGCTAAAACAATTCAGCTCAAAACTTCTTGCTGGTTCACTAGCAAGATATTCATTACCATCGTAAATTTATTTAATACCTTCTTGATGTTACATGACCTCAGGTTATTAAATGTCTATCAAACATAATAATAGTTTTCAAAGAGCATAATAAAGCTAAACATCTGTAACAGTGCTACTAGGTACTGCAACATAATCTCAATTAAAAAAAGTGAAACTGAAGTTTTTAGGAATTCTTGTATGTTACATAGTCAGAGACGATGCACTAATAAAATTAATACATTTATTGTTGAGCTCTGTTCCTCTTTGGAATGAAAATTCCAGCTCCTGGTTCTAGGAAGTGCCAAGATAGCTGCAGAGTAGCTGAAAAAGAAATGTCAGATAGTGACTCAGATTTGCTGTATCTGTAAGAAGTTTTCTGTCTGCAGCATGTGATCTCTCAAAAGTCTTTTTAATAAATTATCACATGGGTGTGTGCTCACAGCTGTTCATATTGCTATGAATTTTGAGATACTTTATTCAGAAATGTGTGCAGCCTTTCTTTGGGACTTGGTGTTGCATCTTCTCTCTCAACAGTGCTTTTATAATTATTTTCTTTTAATGGGAAGCCAGAAAAACATTTGCCATAGCAAAGTTTATCAGAATGAACTTAAGGTGTTATGTCCAAAACACCATGGGGAAAATTTCAGGTAATAAGGGTGTGCATTTTTAAAAAGTACTAGCTAATCTTTAAATACTCTTGCCACTAAGGAGGATGGTTTTAGGGCTACAAGCTGATGTTTTTGTACTAGTAGATGCTGTAGAAAAAGGTGCCCTCAATGCACTGTGCTGATTGAAATTGTCTTTTCACATTGCAGTTCTTCACTTAGAACAGAACTGTCAAAAAAATGGCTTTTTTTTTTTTTCAGTATATCTAACCCTCCATTCAAAGAGGAGTTTGGTTAAATGTAATATGCAATAGTTTTGTGAACCATCCTGCAGTGGATTAACCATTGGTGAAAGAAGTCAAAAAGTTTAGACCCAAAGCCTAACTTTAAAATGGAAAGGAGAAAAAAAAAATCACTGTTTTTGTGTCCTTATCAGATACAAAATGTTTATTTTGCAGATATGCTCTTTTCTGTGGCTCCAGATTCCTTGGCTGCAAGGGATGTATATTTAAATTTTGAGTGAGTTGTTAATTACAGTAATTTCTTACACTAACTAACTGCAAAAATCCCTGGAGAAATCTCAGTTCTTCTGCAGAAATCCATGTGAGATTAAAAAGCAGTGATGTGTGTTTAGGGTGCAGTGATGGTGTGTGTGCTGTGCGTTCATAGCTGTGCCACTTCCACAGAGGGTTTATTTTCTTTGTTAGTGTTGTAAAGTTCAGGAAGAAAACACTTAGTGCCTCTTGTCGAAAAAGTTCAGTGAAGACCATGCAATTATTAAAAGCTGATCTTTCTAGAGGGAATTTGAACAAAAATAATGCTGACTCTTTAACCTAGGGGAACTGCAGCCACTGCAGGGGAAAGGGGAGCATAAATCCCTAGCATAAATCCCCAGATGTTCAACAAAACATTGGAGCAAGGCAGAATAAAAGAAGGCAGCTGGGTGGGGTGGGATGAAATGCTCTCCCTCACAGTTTGCAGGGAACATTCCTGGATTTATGATTTTAGAATAACCCAAGAAGAGCCATCAGGAATTCCTAAGGAGGAGTTTTCCTGGCCCCAGAGTGTCTGCAGTGTTCAGACAGTTGTATTGGCTGGTAAATCCAGCACACTGTGATGCTGGAAAGTGAGAAGTAGTACTTTTGGGCGACAGGATAAAAAAAAATTGCATCTCTTATTTACAGTCAGGAAACATATAGTGAAACTGTGATTTATGTGCATGTACTGGGGTAGGAAAACAAAGAAAGAAGATGAAGAGACTTGGTGTTCCAGGTGGACATTCTTACTTTCCAGCCATTGATCTGAGAGCTCTTGAGCTCATTATCTTTCTTTTCAGCTGAGCATAATCAGCATTAGGCTTGTAAGTGAATAGAAATTCTGTAGTTCAGCACTGCACATGAAATTCCTCTTGGCAGGCACTAAGTGCTTTGTGTGTGTGTAAAATTTGGGTCTTGCTTTATTTAACAAGGCAGTTCAGTGCTTGCCAGCCTGCTTAGTATACTGAAGCTCTTGGAATTAGGCACTTGCCTGTTTCCCTGACTTGGGACTAAACCAGAAGTTTTGCATTTCCATAATTATTCTAAAGTTACTTGAGGCTTGATCCAAGGTTACTTGATCACTTTTTGTGCGTGACAAGTTCCTCCTGAGCAGCTCTGACTGGATAAGGCTTTTTTCCTGCTACATAATAACCACATGGCAGATATAATTGCAATAACACTTTCGTGTCTATACTGCAACCTGGTGAGTGTTTGGGGTTTTCTATTTTTCTAGCAGAGTCAGGAAAAATCATAAGGAACAAAAGGATAAAAAGTGAAAAGGGCATCAAAACTAGAACAGATTTTCCAGTTCCAATTTTACATGGTCTACTGTCTGGAGTTCAGATAACACAGGATGCAATTCAAAACTCTGTTACCTCTAAAATTTAAAATAGCACCACTGAGGTCCTTCAAAGGGAAAATGGAGCTTAATCTTAAATGACAAAATCTCCAGTTGATTTGGGGAGAGACTTTTAAAATCCTTCCTATTTGGCTACTTTGGTGTTTCTTATAGATGTCTCCTATATTCAACTATGAGCTCGTGCTGTTTCATATTTTTCTCTTCCATTTGCCATAATATTTACTATCACAGCTCTTACATTGTGTAAAATTGTGGGCACCCTGAGCAGAAGTGAATTTAATACGTAGAATGCATGACATTTTTGATGTCTCTGACCCTTTGGATGCCTGTAAGTGACCACTTGACCTTTTCTGTTACGTCTGACCATGTGGGTGACCTTTGAGCTCTGGATGATCTCTGACCTTTTGGCAACATTTTGAGCCCATTCTGACCTTCCAGTAACCTTTGATTCTGCAAGACCATTTGTCCTCTTGCAGTGACCTGTGACCTGGGATGACATCAGAACTTTGGGGATGACCTTTGACTCCTGAAAGATCTCTAGTATGTTTTCTATTAGAGTTCTGTTAGCATGTCCAGCTCCTTCACCAGGGCTGAGGTCTTGACTCTAAGAACATTGCAAATGCTTAGAAGAGCCAGAAGTGCTGTTTATCCTCCCAAAAATAGCTAAAAAAGCACAAGTGAGCAGTGACCAAACTGGTCTGGAATTGAAATCCAGCCTTGTACATTCTGTTTCTCCTCTCTACACAGGCGAGCAACACAGAAGATGTAGAAGAGGACAGATTTACATTGCTAAGGTAGGATGAAAACATCTTTTGTTCGAACTGCTTCATGGAAACTTTTCATACCTCACGAGGAATTTTTGTACTCTAATGTAATTACAGTTCGTTTGTTGAAGATTTGCTGGAGGAACAACCTAAAGAGTGAAAGTCCTCCAAGTCTTAATGCTGATATGTATCAGCTGTAGACAGATAAATGCAGGCTGCTGTCACAAGCTGACTCCCAAAAAAATGTATTGTTGATTCCTGGGTGGGTTGTTTGCGTGGAGTTTTTTTTTTTCTCAGTATTCCTATAATGTTTTATTTTGCTTATAACTATGTGCAATCATGGGGCACGTGTTGGTGTAACCTGAGTGGGCAGGAGGAACTGCCTGGTGTCAGGAAGTGTTTCATGAATTTGCACTGGTGTGGAGTTGCACCAGTTTGTGGAGATACAATTGGTAAATGTATCAATAACTGAAGTCCTTTGCTGTGTTTCTGTCAGAAAGATTTGGCTTTTATGAGGCTGGCATTTCTCTAAGCAAACAGCATTATTGTTGTGCCCCAAGACTAGATTTCCTTGCATCATTTCTCTAGCAGACTTGTCTGACCACAGGGACATAACTTAGCAAAAAAATTCTTAAAGGAATATTTTACCCATAAAACTTAGAAGCACAGTAATGTCTTCCACCCCATTTGCATTTTGGAGTAAAAAATTCATGGACTAAGCTAATGGCCAAGCCACTGGAAAATCATGGTACACATTCCAGTCTTTAAGATACAGTGAAGTTTTTTCAGAGACCAAGTTTTTTGAATTCTCCAGCAAAACAGCTGAGGAAAAGATGCTATGGTTCAGAACAATTTCAAGTATTTCGCAAATATTTCATACTGCCAGATGCTGCTGAAGTATCCCACTTAATATTCTGTTTGCTGTGCCAGTAATGCAGCAGATTAATAAACCACATTAGGTAGGAAATAGCTTTTTGAGAGAACTAGGAAAGATAATTCAAGGTTTTAAACAAAACCATTGAAGCAGAAGCAGGCTGGCATTTCCCAAAAGCTAATCAAATACTAGCAGAGCAATGAGGGAGTGTAGCACATCATTTGGAAGTCAAAAGTCAAGGGAGAAGATTTTAAAAGATACTTTAAAGAACTGTGCATCCATTTGCCAGCAGACAGTACCTCCCAATGTCAAGGCTCTATCACTATAGAAATTACCAAGTCCTGTTGAAACAATCATCTGTTCTGTGAGGGGGCATCTTCTGAATCACAGTGATGGCTTAGGTCTGCTGGGGGACCTGCACATGCTCCTCACTCATTGCTGGATCTGAGGCAGAAATTCGGGGGGTTTTATTTCTGCATTTTTGATTATAGTCAAACAACTGGCAATTGTTTTGTTCTAGTCACACTGAATTGAAGTTCTTCCTGTCATACTGTTGACAAGTAATTGTTTGGATGTCCATCTGGGTTATAAAACAATTGAATTTCAGTAGCTGCAATGAGAGGAGAAATAAAAATGGGAAAAAAGTGTGTGTAAATGTATTTTATAAATGCTGGAGTGTATCATCAGGCTGTGACTGCTCAGCTTGAACTCTGATGGAGCTAGGGCACTCTTCTCAGGGATTTAAGGTCAAATCCCTTCAGATAACGAGTGGAATTAAAGCAAATTTTTCTGTCTTGTGTTTGTTTTTATTCAACAATTTTGAATAGAAAAATTGTTTGCTTCTCAAATATTACTGGAAAATTCTTGTGCTATGATTTTGTCTCCCTAACTGAAGTTTCTGCAGCACCCTAAGGTCTGTGTCCTTGAGACATCTAGATTCATGTTTCTCAGACAACTTAAGTTCATGGGTATGCATTCTTCTACAACCAAGGTCTGATGTTTTGCAAAAGGCTTTTTTTTCCCCCCAGGAATTTCATTTGAATATGCCATTCTTGAAAGAAATACTTTATTATTTGTTTAAGTAGTATTGTTAAGTGGGCTAGCTGCTGATGTGAATTTCCTCCCTCATTTGTATTCGTTTCAACAAAACTAAGTAAATGCTGTTGGTAAATATTCACTCTGCAAGCCCTTAGGCCAGTCAATAAAGCTGTAACCCCACCTGTCTGTTACTGTCACTCTGCTGAAGTGAAAATGCACAGTAATTTGTTTCTAGCAAAGCAGGGTGAACGAATCACTTGGCCACAGTCTGAGGTGGTGTCTTGTCTGTGCATGGACTGGAGCACTTGAGTGAAGTGAGCTGCCCTCCTGCAAGCAGGGGCATTATTTGCATAGAGCTCTACTGTTGGTCTAAAACAATTATCCAACGCCAAGGTCACTTCTGAAAACAGCTGTTAGATGTGACAATCTGCTCCCCAAAATATGCACAAAGACCAAACCCCATGAAATCAGTATGTAGGACAGAGAGCTGCAGTCTCAGTCTGCTGTGATGGTTTAAAGTATTGCAGACAAGAAGCCTGCTGAGTATATTGTGAAACCTCCTGATTCGGAACCAAAATGTTGGTGTTTGGTTGCCATAAAATCACCTTTTCTTTAAATCTAAGCACACGGAATTGCTGCCCACTTTCTCAGCAAATATTTCAGCCAAGAATGATGCTCTCAAGAGTACATGATTGGGAAAGCACAGGAAGTCTACTTTAGCTTTCCCAAATTGATGGCCAGTTCTGAACTGAGGGCAAGGCTAGTTACCACTCACCTCCTTTCACATCCCTGACATGGAATTCTTTGTTCTTTGGAATGCCTTTGTGCTGCTGCTTTTATAACAAAAGAGTTTCAGAGAAAACAGGATGATGCTTCCCTTTTTTCAGTTACTTCAGTCAAGTGCTCTTATATTCCACAACTGAAACTTGTCCCAGTAATTTAACATTCATCAGATTCCTTTTATCATGGAAAAGTGAGGACAACTCACTGTAGGTGAGCAAGTTACAGACTTTGGTGACTTTGATGTTGTGTACCGAGAGCCTTCTTTCATTTACTGTTACACCCTGTTAAAGTAAACCATTGTGATGCCACAAGTTCCCTGCCAACTGATTTTCTGTTATCTTTCATAAAGGCTTAAGCTCAGGACATATACCAATCTCTCAGCTTAGGAATCAGATATACAGAAATGTGTTTGATAGATATCTACAGAGTACTTATCAAGCAGTTTTAAGCCCTGTATTAAGTTAGTATTAAGGGCAAATAAAAATGTCTGTCTTGGGGGACAGATTATTAGCATATCCAGGAATCTTGAAATGCTGCAGGATGTTTTTCTTTCGGGAAAAAAAATCAAGGCAGATCCATCCGGTTGGGCTTTGGGTTTTGTTACTGTTTTAATGTAAAAGCCAATTATCAAATTGAATTAGATTTACCTGCTCTGCTGGCTAAATTTGAGGGTATCTGGGGATACACCCATGTCACTGTAACCAGGGCAGTGTCACCAGGCTGTCTGTGCATGCTGCTAAATGCTGCTGAATCAAGCAGGCTCAAACAGCAGTGCTGTTGTTATGGGAAACTGGTCTTTTGTCCTGCCTATTCCAATGCCAGAATAATCATGTTGCCTTTTGGAAAGAGATGTGCAGAGTAACTGCAGCCCTTGGAGTACAAAATATTAGTGATACAAAGCTGACATACCTTGTCACATCTATCAAGGATGTTTTGTCAGAAACTCCCTAGGGATTAACAAACTAGCAGGTCCACCAAGACTGAAGTGGATGAAGTGTCTTTTGAAAGAAGAAGGGATCACAAGGTTGATGTTTCTCTTCCCTCCTTTGCTCACCACATACTCTTTTCCTAAAATATACAAACGTGATGGCAATTTGTAGTGAAGACCAAAGATGGCAAAAAATAACAAGCAACGGCGAATGTGTGATAAAGCTTTTCATGCTGTTTTTTCCTCTGATCTGATATTTTTTCTGTTCACACTTTCTATTTTAAACTGCTGTTTGTTTTTTGGTGGTTTTTTTTTTTTTTTTTTGTCTGTTCACACTTTCTGTTTTAAACTGCTGTTTGTTTTTTGGTGTTTTTTTTTTTTTTTTCTGTCTTTGAATTAGGAATTCACCAAGGTTTGGAAATCTGTGGTTACACAGTAAGCTTGAGATACTCGTGCCTCTTGCAGAAGAATGGGACTACTTTTAGGCTTTTGCTTGTTTGTTTTATTTTGGTTTTGCTATTTTTTTTTTGTCATCTCACGTACAAAATACAGAAAATTAACAATCTGGTTTTCAGATTTCCTTGGTAATGAGGTCAACGATGAAGACTTATTTATCAGTAAAATCTTCTGGATTTGCATTACTCTCCCAAAACCACTTTTTACATTTTTTACGTGAGAATGTTAGAGAAATTCACTGTTTTGTATGTTTGTCCTCACGCATACTCATGTACATGGGATTACCTTGGTGTTGGCTGAAGCGATGTAAAATTCTACATGAAGCTTCCTTTCCTTTGGTTTTAAGAGGCTTTTTTTGCTGCTTGATATGAATTTAACCCAAGTAAACCTGGTTAAAGAGCAATGCATCCATATTATTTTGCTCTAGCTTGACCATATCAGCTTAATATTAGTTCCCCATGGTGTGCCTGCACAGCCTTACCGCAGGGTGATGTGTGATGTGGTACGACAGCACCGTGTGGGCTCCCCAACATCCCTCTAGAATGACCTGTTTTCATCACTCTTACTGCTACTCCACTGTTTGCATTGACTTTTTGAAGTTTTGGGGCTTTGTTTGTGTTTGTTGTGTGGTGGTTTTGTTTTTCCCACAGTAATGTCTATAACAGGATTTCTTTCTGCTATGCAATCAGGCTGGTCAAGAGAAAATAAGTGCAGTCATTTTTGGCACTGCCTGTGGGCATGGAGGGATGGATGGATCCAGGCTAAGGACACACAGCCACATCTTCTCTGATAGATGAATAATTATGGGGATTGTGATCCACTGTCCAGAGATAACTCAGCTCTGCTGGATACTGACACAGGGGATGCCACAGGGAATTTTTCAAGTGGTTTCAATGGGGATGCAGACAGAAATTATGGAACTACACTTTGTAAGCAGGAATTGTGCCAAAG